ATATTTTATAGAATTATATCAATACCCTCCTAGACACTTAGGTGATTGGTATGAAGAGTGCAATAATAAGCTAGTTGAAATTGCAACCCATAATCAGTTACCTTGTCCTCATGCTTATAATAATGAATGTTTGAAAAATCTTACCTATATAGAATTATGACTAGGAAGATTATGGTAATTCTGTATTGGAAACTTGGTTGTCACATGTAAATTTTTCTATACCTTCAGTTTTCTCTAGACAAACTTTGTGTACTCCTTATGGATATATGTTTTTGTGTGGTGGATATATATTTTTGTGTAGGTATATAATACCCCTACAAACACCTGATTTATTTGATTGGTTACCACTAGTTTAGATGATCCCTTTCCAACTGACAATGAATTTATGTGGGCAATCTCTTGTTTAGAATGCATGGGCAATGCACTTTGGGAACTTTAGGGATTACCTTTAGATATTCATAGTAATGATGCTAGTAAATATTGGAAAGATAATGTTAACTGTTACGTATTGTAAAATGAAAGTCAGAAGAAAACCCATTGGTCCAATACTTAGGGTGGGGTTGGTCATTTCTAAGACCTTTAATTCCTACTTACACTATAGTTGAATTGGAGAAATCTTTAAGAAACTTATCAATCACTATGGGACAAATAGACAAAGTTACTAATGGAATGGAAACACAACAGTGATCTCTAACCTCATCAGCCAAGATGGCATTAGATAACGAATAGCCTTAAATTTTTATTAGCCCAAGAAGGCAGAGTCTGTGCTGTAGCAAATACCTCTTGTTGTATTTCAATAAATAACACAGGAGAAGTAGAATAAGATATACATAGAATTAGACAGCAAGCTACTTGGTTACACACTATAATACCCCACAAACAACAGATTTATTTGGCTGGTTACCATCAGGAATAAGTTCATGGGCTAGATCACTATTGCAAGGAATATTCTTAGTCTACATCCTGATAGTATTCGGCATAATAAAACTTATCTTCTGTTGTCTTACACAGTTAAAAAACAAAAGAAAGGCTCAGGCTAAAATGTTGATATACATTGATTCTGCTCATTTCTGCTATGCAAATGATGGAAACATCACTCTTAAGATCCTGGTGAAGAACTAGATGGTATCTGGTGGAAAACTTGCATTGTGAGTTTAAAGAGCCTGCCATGGCCACCATCTAGGGCCCAACTAAGTTCAGGTTTTGATCATCATGGGTTATCTCCAATCTCCGATCAAAAGGAGAGAGTGACTTAGGAGTTAAAATGAGAACCATTATTCCCTGTCCTTGAGTGTAAAGAATGTGACCAAGCTGGAGCAGCAAGGACTCACAAGGACATATCAACTGGACCCTGAGCTACAAAAACCATAGCTAGGACAATCTTGGAAAACATCTTTTAGGAAACCTTTCACATAAACAAATACTTAGAGCACAAAAGACCAACATATTTTCCACTCTTGTCTTTTTCTATCAGCATTTAGTAAAATAGATTTGTTGGACCAATGAAGACCCTCCTGACTGTCATTACTGAAACTTGTACCAAAGATTATTAAGAAAGACAATAAAAAATGTAGAATCATGGTGATTCAGCAGTTTTTAGCCAATCTATAAAATGGTGAAGCTTTTAATGATTTTACCCATTTGTAATGTCTATATATATTGAGGATTCTATAATATTCATCAGACTCAGACAGACATAGCTCTGGCAGCATGCTTGTCCATTTCCCATTTTTGCCTCTTGGAACATATACAGAATAAAATCTTTCCCCTTGCTTTTATAACTTTGTGGTGATTTTACCCTAGGGCATATTTTCAATTGCCTCATATGCATGCAAAAGCTAGACAATGAATGAGGAAGACCAAAGAAGAATTGATGCATTTGAATTATGGTGTTGGTGAAGAATATTGAATATACCATGGACTGCCAGAAGAATGAACAAATCAGTCGTGGAAGAAGTACAGCCAGAGAGCTCCTTAGAAGTGAGGATGATTAGACTTTGTCTCATGTACTTTAGACATGTTATCCGGAGGGACCAGCCCCTGGAAAAGGACATCATGCTTGGTTAAAAGAGGAAAAAGAGGAAGACCCTCAATGAGATGGACTGACACAGTGGCTGCAACAATAGGCTCAAACATAGTAATGATTGTGAGAATGGCGCAGGACTGGGCAGTGTTTCTTTCTGTTGTACATAAGGTCACTATGAGTTGGAACCCACTTGACTGCACCTAACAACAACAACATACACAGTGAAAGGATTAATTTTTCTTGAATGAATAATACAAACTTTTTACAGAAATGGGATAGAGGAAAAAAATGGACTTAAATAAAGATACCTATTTAGAAAACAAGCCTAACTCTCTTACCAATGAAGTGCAAATTTCAGTCAACACTCACCTGAGTTCAGCAGTGAAGAATTCATGAAAGAAATAATCTGCAAAATAATGTGGCAAAATTCTCTGGAATTTCAAGTAATACTTGCCAGCCATTGTTCTGTGACAAATGAGGTAAATTTGCCAATTTGGTGGCAAGACATGAGACACAGGAGCCAAAATTCTTATCCTATTTACTCCCAAGGAATTTATTTAAGATGACTATGCATTAACCCCTGGTGATGCAATGGTTAAGTACTCAGCTGTTATTCGAACCCACCCAGCTGCTCTGTGGGAGACAGACTTGGCAATCTGCTCTTGTAAAGATTTCAGCCAAGAACACCCTACAGGGCAATTCTACTCTGTCACATGGTGTCTATACAAGTTGAATTTACTCAATGGCACCTAACAGCAACATCAGTGCATAACCCCAGTGCCAAGCATCCACTCTCTTCCTAGATTGTGAAATTATTTGCTTCTGTTCATCTGGCTGGCACTTGCTATGATCACTCAATTCTGTGGATTTCTTGGAGATTTGGTGAGCAAGATCAACTCCTAATCTCTTTCTGTAAATCCAAGCTCATCCCCATATGTAGACTTCTACGTGAGGAGTGATGAGAGCCTGTATCTACTAACCATGTAGCACTGAGTCATTTCCCAGTTCAGGAGACAGACAAGAACAGAACTTTAAAACAAACAAACAAAACAACAATAAGAAAAAAAACCAACAAAAACAAAAAAACTTTTTCTTTCCATGTTATCCTCTCCCTCTACTCCAGGCTCTAACTAGGGGCTCATTATCAATGGCCCCTATTTTACTTTATTCAATGTGTTATGCAAGGATTATCTCCTCTATTCAAAGAACTTCCTAATCTCTATTTCTGGGCAGGACTCTTCCCTATGATATAAATGTAGCACATTAACTATTGACATTTCTATCTGAATGACTCATAGGCACATCAAAGTTATCAGTTCAGTCTGACATCACTACCTAATCTTTCCAAGCATACTCCTCCTCATGTCATTTCGTATCCAGAGAATAGCCCAAACATTCATTCTGTCTCTCATGCCAAAAAAAATCTAGAAATCACCCTGAAGTCTTCATTTTTCATATCTAATAAATAAGATAGCTCTCTGAAATCTACTTTAAATGTCTCTTTTCCTACTGTCACTACCTTAGTTCAATGCCTCATAATTTCTTACCTGAAATTATCATGATTGGCTATAATTGCTCACTGACTATTTTTATAACAACGTTATTGAGATATAATTCACATATGATAAAATTCACCCAGTGGCTTTTAGTATATTCACAGAGTTGTCCAATCATCAGCACTATCTAATTTTATAACATTTTCAACACCACAAAGAGAAATTTTTTAGTCATTAGCAACCATACCCCATACCCGTCTTTCCCCTGGAAACCACTAATCTTCTTTCTGTCACTATGGATTTGCCTATTTTGGGCATGTCATACAATGGAATCGTACAAATATAGTCTTTTGTGACTGGTTTCTTTCGCTTAGTATCATGTTTTCAAGGTTCATCCATTCTGCAGCATGTATCAGTATTCCATTCTTTTTTTCTGAATGAATAATATCCCATTTACAGAAAATACAAATTTTATCCACTAATCAGTTAATGGATATTTGTGTTGTTTCCAGTTTCTTGCTATTGTGAATAGTGCTGCTATCAACATTCACGTGCAAGTTTTTGTATAGACATATGCTTTCATTCTCTTGGGTGTATACTTGAGAGTAGAATTACTGGGTCATATAATAATTCTGTGTCTAACATTTTGAGGTATTGCCAAAAAGTTTTTCCAAACTGGCTGCACCATTTTACAATCCCAGCAGGTATGAAAGTCTAATATTAGTATAACCACTGTATGTCTCTTTTGGTTACTATGTGCATGGTATATCTTTTTCCATCCTTTTATTTCAGCCTATTTGTGTCTTTGAATCTATAGTGTGTTACTTTTAGAGTATATATTTGGATCATGTTTTTAATCCATTCTGTCAATCTCTGCCTTTTAATTGGATTTTTAATCCATTTGCATTTAATGAAATTACTGATAAGGTAGTACTTACATCTGTTTTTTGTTTTCTTTATATTTTATGCCAGTTTTGTTCCTCTGTTCTTCTATTACTGTCTTTTTATGTGTTAAATATACATTTTCTACTATATAATGTTTTATATAGTAGAAAATTTATATATTTAAATATATATGTATTTATAATATATATATATTTTCTATAATGTTAAATATACATTTTAATCCCCTTGTCATTTTTTGCTATATATATTTTCATTTTCTTGTTGTTGTTAGGTGCCTTCAAGTTGGTTCCAACTCTCAGTGACCCTATGGACAACAGAATGAAACACTGCCTGGTCCTACTCCATCCTCACAATAGTTGTTATGCTTGAGCCCATTGTTGCAGCTACTGTGTCAATCCATCTGGTTGAGGGTCTTCCTCTTTTTTGCTGATCTTCTACTTTACCAACCATGATGTCCTTCTCCAGGGACTGATCCCTTCTGATAACATGTCCAAAGTATGTGAGACGTAGTCTCTCCATCCTTGCTTCTAAGAAGCATTCTGGCTGTATGTACTTCTTCCAAGACAGATTTGTTCATTCTTTTGGCAGTCCATGGTATATTCAATATTAGTTTTCTTAGCAATGTAAAATTAATATTGCTTTCTTTCAAGTGATGGAAAATGAGGCTAATTGGACTAAGGTCCCTTCAGAGTTAGAAAATGATGGGGTGCTTTGCATAACATATGCTTTGTCAGTGCTAACTTTCTTTAGTTCTTTATCTGATCTATTTCTTTCCTTGCAAATTTACTAATATACCCCCTGATGATTGGAGAGTTCCCTGAAATCTCAGTCCTAAACTCTAATAAAGCTCTTGCCTGCTCAATCTCCAGGGAGAAGGGTCAAAACCATAGGTGCCTTCTCTGAGAAGTAGACCATGTCTTCATGATTTCCTAAATGTAGAAAATGTATTTCACAGGCAATAAGAGACTGAAATCCACAATCATGCCTACCTCTCATGCTCTTCCTATGAGGATAGATTATAGAAAGTTTTCCTGCAAATAAGAGATGCTCAGATACCTGATTTTGGCAAATTTGGCTTTAAGAGCATTGATGAATATCAGAGTATAAACTTTTATTAGACATTTTCTAAATGGTAATGTGTATAAGATAAAATCCTAAATATCAACCAAGCCAGGAGGAATTGGTATCTAGTCAAATCTCTTTTTAAAAAAATTATACAAGGTGTAATATAGGATTTTACATCAAAAATTATTCTCTACTTTATTAAAAGGGTGTTTATAAAGGGGAATGGGTATACAGAGGAGTTGGGAGAGTTTCATAAAGAGGTGGATGAACTTAAGAGGCCAACCTGGGTAACATTCACACGGAAAAAAGTGGATGAAATTTGCCTTATTCTTGTTCAGATCTATACTGAACCATTGTTCTGTGGTATCTCAGGAATTAAGAATGGTGGAATCCATATACCATTTATCTGCAAAGACAAAAGAGGTAGTCAACAAGAGCCCTGAAAAATTTATGGTTCTGTCTTAAGTTATGCAAAATTAGAGAGGGGAGGTTTCAGTCCCCATATCACTAACCCAGTTCAGTGGCAGCAACCTTCAACTTTCAGATTCAGCCAAACTCAGTTCCGGACCCAAATTAAAACAAACACCCATTGTCATCCAATTCCAACTCATAGCAAATAAGGTATGAAAATTATATCCAACCAGCAGGTAAAATCTGCCAATTAATTCATACTATCCTCCCTGCAGTGAGCTGCCAGTCAATCTAGATGGACAACTGCCTGAGAGATACAGTTCTTTACTCAAATGTCCCCAATGTTTGCAGAGCTTTCCTACCATTTTTCCTTTAGATATCAGTCCTAATCTCTGATTCAGCACTTGTCAGGTCTACACCTTGGGAAATGGATTCTATTCCATCAGCTACCAGTCTTTTTCTGGTATATGAGTCATCACAGAAAGACCACCTTGTGATACCTTGAGACTGACTCTGAGAATGGCTACTACCTGAAAGTTCAAGTTGCAAATGCCTTCAAACAACAAGTTCCATCCCCTAGAATATACCTTAATGGTCTGGACTTAACCAGATATGGCTATGACACTAAGGAATCTGAGTGTACCCAGGTCTGCAGTGTACCCAGACACCTTTCTTATACCAGATGTTACTCAAGTTGTTTGGTGAATTCCCCCAGTTCTGTTTATTCTACATTGGTCTGACTTCCTACTATTAAAATCATAGGCAATATTAGCTGAGAGCTCAATCATCCTATGGAAGTTCCTCCAACCAGTTGTTTTTAGAGTAACCATATTACTACACAGGTCTAGGTTGGGGTGTTATGTCCAGCTGATTTTGGAACCTTATTCCATGGCCCAAGCTTCATTCACCACTTGGATCCAGAGCATATGCTTTATAAATTCTAATAGACACTAGCACAAGAAATTGAGTGTTTCCATACACCACTATCTCATTGTGTCACCCACGGTACATATAGAAAACAGATTTATCCTTTCTAACAATCCTTAAATCCTACTTTTAGATCCCAACCTCCAAAGTCTAAGAGACTTCTTAAAAGAAATCCTCTCTCTTCCTCTCAACTCATCATATTGCCATGGAGCAAGCATAGTTGTCCAGTGCCCTATACTTCCAACCTGAAATTCCTGGTGATTGTCCCAAATTCATACCTGCCCCTCAGCTACCTTTCCTGAGGAGAAATGTCATAGAAGTTAGGATATAGGCTCAAAGCTATAGAAAGTAAGGGTGTAGATAAAAGCAGGGGCAAAAAAAGCTACCTTCCACATACACTTTGCACTCATTTTTCTATCAGCCTACCTATATGAGTCTCATAAGGAAACCCAACGAAAGTAAAAAACTTACAGATGTTAGGACTTCCCTTGTTTACCATTCCCATTCCACTATCAGGAAACTAGAAAATCTAATTGCATTGGATAAAATCAAGAAACCCCAAAGACAGACTTACCTTAATAGGCTTTGATAGAAGTGGTGGTAAAGGGATCACCTGTGGAGAAAGCTTTTGATGAGGTAATATAAGGAGACAGGTTGAGTAATATGAACCTCACCTCACCTCCACAAAACAAACAAACAAATAAAAACAAACTCTAAAGTTATGAGAATCTTCTTTATAATATGGAGCTTGTATCTTAATACACATTTCTATGACCTTGTCTTCATCATCTGTTGTAATTGATTTCAAATGGGGCCTCTACAATCTTCTGTCTGGGATTCACCGGCTCCCTTTTCATTTTGGTATGCTGGTGTAGGGATGCCAATACAATCTATGAGATTGTCAATAGCCAACGCACGTTACAAAACTAATGGTAACTCTGTAGACTGGCATAAAATTTTGCCTAATATTTACTTTCACTTCTCTGATACAATGTTAGACTACATGTACCTTTCCAATTTTCTATAGGGGATAAGAGTTGAGTGCTACATATTTTATATAATCATCTGTCAACTGCATGGTTAGTCAAACAGCATTTATAGAAAAACTACTTTTCTACAGCTCTTCACTTGAGCAACAGGGGAAAGACCCCCATAAGTGTCCTTGGGAAGTCCACCACAAGTCTGAGGGTATGATTTTTGCTGTGGCATACAAAGGTGAGCGAGAGCTAATGTTTGATCTAGTCGAAAAGTGAGAAGATGGTGTAGTTTTGTACAGCACCTTGTCACTGCCAAGATTCTCTTCTCAAGTGCCAGAAAGCATATGATTGTCAGAGGTTTAGGCTGATAGAATATTGTCTGTGGGGAGAAACAAAATCAACTTGTGTAGGTCAAACACTCACCTCATCAGTGTCATTCTTGGAGGTAGTGGTAGAAGGGTCTTCTGAAGTAGAAATACATTTGTAGCACATGTGGAGGAAAGGGGAAAGAAAATTTGGACAGTTTTTAGATCCTTAGCCAGGGAATACCCCAAAACCTGTTACCGTAGAGTCCACCAACCCCTATAGGACAGAGTAAAACTGCCCCATAGAATTTCCAAGGCTATAAATCTTTATGGAAGCAGACTGCCACATCTTTCTACCCTGGAGCAGCTGGTGAGTTTGAACCGCTGACCTTTTGGTTAGTAGTCAATTGCTTAACCACTGTGCCACCAGGGCTCCTTACCCAGGGAATATCTCCTCACAAATTGTTTCACAAACAATAGTCAGAAAGCAGTAATAAGAATGACTCCAAACCCAACATTTGTTTAAAACTGTTTTAGTGTTCTCAAAATACTGTAGTTGTTTCCCGTCACCTTCTGGAAAATAACTACTACCTCCTCCTATCCAATAAGCCTTAATAAGGTTGAGGAAAATTGAAGCTGTACTCCATAAATGTGCACAGGATGATTTGGAAGGTCAAGTAACTTAAAATTAGACTGACTGAAGTGGAGACTTTGCCTTTCCCAGTCCAATCAATACCAGCACTGCAGACAAGTTGTCTATCTCTTTCCTTCCCACACCTTCTGAATTATACCTAAGTCAATCAAATACCCAGTCAACTTTGACAGATCAGTTCCAATTCAACGTCAGGTGGAATGGATATCCACAGAAAACCTACACTTTGGATAGTTAATAATTCTCTCCTCCTACTTAGCTCACTGTAAGCAGGCTGGAACTGGATTTACTCAAAAAGGGATCCAGGTGTTTGGCTTAACAGTGGGATCAGAACAAAGCACATGATTGGAGAAGTAATGAGTCCTGCAGCTGGAGAAAGTAATTCTTAAAGATCTTCTCTCCTTCTTTTAATTAGTTCTCCCTCAAACTTTGCAATCCTATTATGGCATAATTAATTGGACTTACGGCTAGTTACTAGGAGGCTTGCCATGACGGTCAAGAGCAGGAATGCCAAAAGTTTCATAGTGGTGTGCAGCAGGACAACTTTACCGAGCGAGAAGATAGGCAATGGGTTCCAGAACCAGCTCACAGATCTGCTAACAGCAGAGAAGTACTTAAATAACCACCAGGAAGGGCCTCCTGTTCTCCCTGTCTGACAGGTAATTTCTGCCCAGTGATACTAGGTCTCAAAATAATGAATAAGAACAGCCTAAGGGCTGGAACGTTGGTCTTGGGGTTTGAAGCTGGAGAATAGACTCTAGGGCGAGGCTTCTTACTAATTATTACTCTGGAAATGTCTCATATTATATGTCTGATATCAATAGTACCCATTTATGGTGAAAGGAATTATATTTCTACCCCATCTGCCAGGGAAGAGTCCCTCAATTAAAACGTTTTAGGAAGTACCAGTCCTATCAGCGAAGTTTCCATTCTTCTGAACAAAGGCTTTGCTTTGAATTCTACCTTGGCTTTGAATTCCGTCTCTTTCTCTCCCTTAACGACCTTGCTCTATTGATTATGCCCTCTTGCCCCTCTATCTTCAATCTCTCACCTCAGCATATAAGTACATGATTATCTGTCTCCAACATTGAAAAAAAGAAAATCCTTCATCAAACCTTGAACCTCTTCTGGTTATCAAACTGGAGCTGTGGTGGCGCAGTGGTTAACAGCTCAGCTGCTAACCAAAAGATTGGCATTTTGAATCCACCAGCCATTCCTTGGAAACCCTATGGGGCAAATCTACTCTGTCCTATAGGGTTGCCATGAGTAGGAATTGACTCAACAGCAATGGGTTTGGTTATTTGGGTTTTAGTATTCAAACCATTGTTTCTTCTGTTCGTAGTATAAAACTTGCACAGTGAGGGAGGGGTATGGATTTGTTAAGCCGGCATTATTCAGTCAATAATTATAACATGGCTAAAAGCTATCTTGGAGGTCATCATCCTGAACATCCTCTGTGCCAATCACACTTCTGTGGTTAATCTCAATTACAGGACTTGCAAAGTCTCACACGGTGAAAGGAATCCAAATTTAAGCCTCTAAAGAGAGCAGAAAACTGAAGAAAAGTCTTTGAACACAGTGTTTCTGTGTGAGGCTTGTCCCCTGTGACTCCTAAGGTTAGAGTTTCTCAGGGAGGGAAGACAAAAGTCAATGATCCACATATTTGGAGGACAATTATTAACTCTTCAAGCTGAATATATTTTATATTTTCAAATGGTAAACTCCAATCTGGAGGCAACATCTTTATCATTCTTTCTTCCCCTACCACTGAGATGGACAGCCTGTCAAAATGTCAGTCACACACACACAAACAGATACGAACATGAACAAAAAGTCCTTAGACAAGAAACTTCTTTTCTTCAAAGTGGAAGCAGTGATAGCAGATACTGCCAGAATTTGTCACATTCAATAAGCATAGAATACATTCTCTATTTTCCAAACATAGGGCTGTCATGGTTTGAATTATGTCCCCCAAAAAATGTGTGTGTCAGTTTGGCTAGGCCATGATTCCTGGTACTGTGTGACTTTCCTGTATGTTGTAAACCTGCCTCTATGATGTTAATGAGGGAGGATGTGTGGCAGTTGTGTTAGTAAGGCAGGACTGGATCTACAAGACTGGATTGTGTCCTGAGGCAATCTCTTGAGATATAAAAGACAGAAGTGAGCAGTGAGACAGGGGGACCTCATACCATTAAGAAAGCAGTGCCGGGAGCAGAGCGCGTCCTTTGGACTGGGGTCCCTGCGCAGAGAAGCTCCTAGTCTGGGGGAACACTGAAGAGAAGAAGGCTGACAGAGGGAAAAAGTCTTCCCCTGGAGCTTATGCCCTGAGTTTGGACTTTTAGCCTACTTTGACTATGAGGAAGTAAACTTCTCTTCATTAAAACCATCCACTTGTGGTATTTCTGTTGTAGCAGCACTAGATGACTAAGACAAGGGCCAAAACAAAACCAAACCAAACCAGTTACTGTCAAGTGATTCTGACTCAATGACAACCCCATGTGAGTCAGAGTAGAACTGTTCTCCACAGGGTTTTCGTGGCTGTGACCTTTTGGAAGCAGATCACCAGGCCTTTCTTCTGCAGCTCCACTGGGTGGGTTCAAACAGCCAAGCTTTTGTTTAGTAGCCCAGACCTTAACTTTTGCACTACCAAGGGACTCCTTAACATAGGGAAACCCCCGGTAATTAATGGAGAAATTTTTGTTCCCCTCAACAGGTTTTAGCCTAGATGATTTTCTACTGGAACAGCTAACCATGTGTCAGTTTAGTATGTTTCCCTATCTTCTACTAAGTCAGGTTTGCTAACCCCAGGTCAGTTGCTTATTTTTAAAATTATAATGATAATAATAACAACTACTAATTACTGAAATCCAGGAACAGGTTTTTGTCCTTGTCATAGGTTGGGTTCCCCAGGAAGCAGGTTCTGAGAGAGAATTTAGTGTGCAGGATGTTTATTAAGGAGTCCTCTTGGGATTAGCAATCACAGAAGAGAGGGGAAGAAGCAGGTTTGGACATGGAGAGAGAAGTCTGCTCTGATACACGTCCATTCACCACCTCAGCAGACCCCTGAGAGGACTGACTGTTAAAGACTATTTGCTGATAGCCTTCGAAACAGCTGTAGCAACAAGGCCTACATTTATGAGCATCTGGGTGGCATATCATCACAATTTCCACCTCAGAGCTTTGCATATGTATGTTTAAGATTTTGAGGTTGTATTAAAATTCCTAATTTGCAGATGAGGAAATACAAGGTAAGAACTTATGTAACTAGAAAAAAATTACTCAATTAGTAAGTGACAAAGCTATATTTGAACACTAGTCTCTCTGACTTCAAGAGAAAAAGAAAATCTATTGCTGTTGAGTTGATTCTGACTCATAGCAACCCTATAGGACAGAGTAGAACTGCTCCTATAGGGTTTCCAAGGAGCTGCTGGTGGATTCGAACTGCCTATATTTTGGCTAGCAGCCAAGCTCTTAACTAGTCTGCCACCAGGGCTCCCAGACTTTAAGAGTAACCTTTAAAAAAGAAATTCAATCAGAGACTAGAGGTTATACTCAGGAATATCAACCAAGAGGTTTTCAGCCCTTCCTTGGAAATATTCACTTTGCCACTATCTACAGTTAAATTAAAGAGGCTTGATGGTGCAATGGTTAAGAGCTCAGCTGCTAACTAAAAGGTTGGCAGTTCGAATCCTCCAGTGGCTCCGTGAGAGTAAAGGCCTGGGGATCTGCTCATGTAAAGATGACAAACTAGGAAACCCTATGGAGCAGTTTTACTCTGTCACATGGGTTCACTGTGAGTTGGAATTGACTCGACAGCATGTAACTACAGGGTTAAATTGTGTGCGATTGGGTAATATGCATATGCAGACTGCTTCCTTTGCACTCTTGCTTTACCTGTTCCTTGGGATTGTACTACAGGAATAGGAGAAATTAAACAGAGTGAGACCAATATTTAATTGCCTCAATATAAGAGAATTTAACCATAAAAAAGAGAAGAATATTGAGGATAAGTCTTATAATATTGATAATAACAACAGTGACATAAACCCATTGTCTTGGTCATCTAGTGCTGCTATAACAGAAATACCACAAGTGGATGGCTTTAACAAAAAGAAATTTATTCTCTCACAGTCTATTAGGCTAGAAGTCTGAATTCAGGGTGCAGGTTCAGGGGAAGGCTTT